TGGGGGATGGGGGAGGCTAGGGGACTGTCTAGGGCGGGGGGAAAAATGGACACATATGTAATACCCTTTGTAATACTTTAAGCAATAAAAAAAAATTCAACAAAGGAGACAAGAGCATACAATGGAGTAAGGAAAGTCTCTTCAACAAATGGTATTGGGAAAATTGGACAGGTACATGCACAAAAAATGAAACTAGACCACCAACTCACACCATATACAAGAATAAACTCAAATTGGCTAAAAAATTAAATGTAAGTTGTGAAGCTATTATAATCTTAGGGAAACCATAGGCAGCAAAATATCAGACATCTCTCAGAGCAATATGTTTACTGATATATCTCCTAGGACAATGGAAACTAAGAAGAAAATAAATAAATTGATCTCCATCAAGATAAAAACCTTTGGCATACTAAAACCAACCATCAACAAAAAGAGAAGAGAGCCCACTGCATGGGAGAATATATTTGCCAATCATACATGCGATAAGGGGTTAATTTCCAAAATATATAGGGAACTCATACAACTTAACAAAAGGAAGACAAGAAATCCAATTTAAAAATGTGCAAAGGACCTAAATAGACATTTATCCAAAGTGGACATACAGAAGGCCAAGTGACATTTGAAAAGTTGCTTAAAGTCACTAATAATCTAAGAGATGCAAATCAAAACAACAATGAGTTATCACTCACCCCTGTCAGAATGGCTATCATCAACAAACCAACAAATTACAAGTTTTGGTGAGGATGTGGAGAAAAGGAAATCCAAGTACACTGCTGGTGGGAATGCAGACTCGTACAGCCTCTATAGAAAACAGTATGGAGTTTATTATCCTAAGGAATAGGAAACACCAATCAAAAATAATATATGCACCCCTATGTTCATAGCAGCACAATTTATAATAGCTAAGATTTGGAAATAGCCCAAGTGCCCAATAGCAGATGAGTGGTTATAAAAACATTTACACAATGGAATACTACCAGCTGTAATAAAGAAAGAACTCTTTTCATTTGCAACAGCATGGATGATCTGGAGAGTATAATGCATGTGTACATATATGAATAACCCATGGACACAGACAATAGAATGATGAAGGCCTGGGGTAGGGGGCAGGGCAGGCTAGAAGAGGTCAATGGGGGAACAAAGGGGACACATATAATACTTGCTACAATATAGATTTAAAAGTAAAATATAAAACCCCCCCAAAAAACAAAAAAACTGTATATGAAATATAAACAAGTATTTAAAGTTAAAAACTGAATGAAATATTACAAAATACAATACTATGTAGCTGTGAAGAAGAAGAAGAAGAAGAAGAAGAAGAAGAAGAAGAAGAAGAAGAAGAAGAAGAAGAAGAATCTCTTACCCTTTGAGACAGCATTGAGAGACTTGGCAAGCATTATGCTAAGTGAAATAAGCCCATCAGAGAAAGGCAAGTATCACATGATCTCACTCATATGTGAAATCTAATGAACAAAATAAACTGATGAACAAAAAGATCCAGGGACACAGAAGCATAGAACAGACTGATGAATCTCAGAGGGAAGGCAGGGTGGAGAGAGGTGTGTGGGGACAGATTAGCGAAAGAGCTTATATGCATGCATGCATAACCCATGGACACAGATAATAGTGTGGAAGAGGACTGGGGGGTAGGGTGGAAAAGGTCAATGGGGAAAAAAGGGAACATCTGTAATATTTTCAATAATAAGGATAAATTAATAAAAAACTCATATATCTTAACACCAAACAAATAACCTAATTTTTTAAAATGGGCAGAGGAAATGAACAGACACTTCTCCCAAGAAGACACACAAATGGCCACAGATATATGAAAAGATGCTCAACTTCACTAGCTATTATGGAAATGCAAATTAAAACACTACAATTAGATACCACCTTATCCCTGTTAGAATGGCTATTATCAACAAGACAATAAATAACAAGTGTTGGGGAGGTTGTGAAGAAAAAGAAACCCTCATTCACTGCTCATGGAAATGTAAACTGGTACAGCTACGATGGAAAACAGATAGAGGTTCTTTAAAAAATTAAGGATAAAGATATCATATGACTCAACAACCTCTCTTTTTTGTATCAACCTGAAATTTTTTAACATTTATTCTCAAAGTCACATGCACCCCTATGTCCACTGCAGCATTATTCATGGTGGCTGAGACATGGAAACAGACAAAATTTACTTCAATAGATAAAAGTTGGTACATATATGCAGTGGAATACTATTCAGCCATAAGAAAAGATTAAATACTCCCATTGGAGACGACATGGATGGACCTTGAGAATGTCATGTTAAATGAAATAAGTCAGACAGAAATGTTGAAGACTCATATTATTTCACTTATATGTGGGATATAAAACTGAAATCAAAAAATGAACAAATAAGAAAAGCAAACAAACAAAAGTTCATAGACACAGATAACAGTATAGTGGTTACCAGAAGAAAGGTGGGTAGCAAAGGGCAAAGTTTGCCTAATATATGGTGATGGAAGATGATTTGATTTTAAGTTGTGAGCACACAATGCAATATGAAGATCATGTATCAGAGAAATATGCATTTGAAGCCTATATAATCTTATTAACCAAGGTAACCCTAATGCACTTAATAAAAACAAAAAAAAATATATATTTAATATACCTTAAAAATATAACCAACCATAGAATTCTATGTTGTTTTTATTTATTTATTTTTAAGTAACTGGAAAGATATTTAGAGATTGTGTAACACCATTGATCTCATTTTACAGATAAACAAGCAGATTTTTGCGATTTAGCTACTTAATGAAACACATAGATAATAGATCCCAAGTCATAAAACTGTTTGTTTGTTTGTTTGTTTGTTTGTTTAATGAAACATTTGACTGGCAGATGTTGAAATCAAGGGTTGTTCTTATAAAGGCACTAGAGGCCCAGTGCATGAAATTCTTGCATGGGAAGGGGGGTTCCTCAGCCTGCCTGCACCCTCTCCAATCTGGGACTACAAGGGATGTCCCTCTCCAATCTGGGACTACTCAAGGGATGCCTGACTGCTGATCTTGCAGGGATCGGGCCAAATCGGCAATCGGACATCCCTCTCACAATATGGGACTGCTGACTTCTAACCACTCGCTTGCCTGCCTGCTTGATTGCCCCTAACTGCTTCTGCCTGCCAGACTGATTGTCCCCTAAAGGCTCCCCTGCCTGCCTGATTGTCCCCAACTGCCTTCCCCTGCTGACCCGATCGCCCACAACTGCCCTCTTCTGCAGGCACAGTCACCTACAACTGCTCTCCCCTGCAGGCCTGGTCGCCCAGAACTGCCCTCCCCTGCCGGCTATCTTGTGGTGGCCTTCTTGTGGTGGCCATCTTGTGGCATCCATCTTTTGGCAGCCATATTGTGGTAGCCATCCTGTGACAACGTGGGGGCAGCCATCTTGTGATGACGTGGGGGGAGCCATTTTGTGATGATGTGAGGGCATCGCACGATGGCCTGAGGGCCACATAGGCTTTTATTAGTATAGATAATCCACGGCCTATGTGAGTCAGAAGAAAGACACCTGAGGGAGGTCATGGTGCTAGACTTGCACAGCATGTCTCTATCTGAATGAAAGTCTATCCACACACATGTTAGAGAGTAATTTTGTCTCCATATATTTATTTTAATCAGTTGTTATTTGGATGGCTTGTAACATCCTATGACCCAAGTTAATGAGGGCTCTGAACAAGTGAGACCAAGAATTGCTCCTTCCTGGCTCTAAGCAAGGAGAGGTTTCCAGTGTGTGGTTCAGCTGTGAAGACTTCACTAAGATACCAGGCAGGTGTCAGTATTTAGCATATTTATTTTTCTCCTGTGAAAAGATTAGCCCCTATAAGATACAGAGTTCACTGGATATCAGATGCCAGCGATCTAGATATCCTATGAGTTGCAGCCTGGTTGCCAAGCACCTTACCCCCTTGTCTTATACCACCTCCCACCCCTGAACAACTGCTGCATTAAACAAGGGTGCCCTGGGCCCAGTGTGATGTTTTGATTCACCTTCTACTTTCACATGTGCATTGAGAGTAAACACTTTCATTACCTTTCCTCACACAGTGCAAACACTAAGCAATGAATATGGTATAAAGTAAAACCACAGCCAATTTATTTTATATCCTATTTTACAGAGCATAAACATAGCAATCATCCTCTGTTCCCTCCTTAATTTAATATCTGAAAACTGTATCAAGCAAGTGGACATATTCTGCATACACCTAAGCACGATTGTGTCCATCTGCAGCGCAGCCCATTCCTTAGCAGCTAAGTCTCCCTTTCTGACATGACTCTATGGAATTAGGAGTATATGGGTTTTCTTTTCTATGTCTCACATAGATCTCATATTTTATACTTTCATACCCTCTCCTAGTTCTCTTCCTTTGCTATTTTTCTCTGCCTAGATCATCTCTAAACACCTTTTCTTTTCAATCTCCCAATATGACATGAAGTATCATCTAAAGTAATATCTGAAAATATTTGATTTTAAGTATTTAGATTAATTATATTTTTAAACATAAAGGTGATTAAGATGTCCTCTTCTTTATTTTCAGTCATCATACATATTGAAACAAATAACAAATATGAAATTAAGAACAGCCTTGGACAGAAGATTTACTTTGTCACCGAGGATAATAATTGCTGTACCCGAAATACTTGTGGGGCTCATAGGCCTTTTACCATGAGGATTCTTGATCTTATGGGCCAAGAGGTCGTAACTCTGGAGAGACCACTAAGATGTGGCTATTGTTGTTGCCCCTGCTGCCTTCAGGAGGTCAGTGAGTATTTATCCAGGTAATATGTAAAGTAGTTCGACAAAAATTATCACCCTTTCATTGAACCTGTATAATCAAATGAGATTCTCTAAAATTTGGTCCATGAACTATTGTTTTATGCTTGAGAGTAATTGGGAGAGGAAGGGTGGCAGGTGAAAAATAGTGAGCAGTTAGGCCCCTGGCCCTGAGAAGTTCATCTCATGGGAATGAGCTTCTGCTCAGAGTCAGACTTTGGGGAGAGTTGAGAAGATAAAGCATGTTGGTAAAGTCCCTTACTTTAAATGACAATGAGAGGTCTGGCTAAAGCCAAAGGAGGGCACCACAGAGAATATCCTAGGATACAATTTCAGGATCAAGTGTACAGAAGAATGAAGAAAAGAACAGATATGTCCATCTCACAATTTTGGCCAACCTATTATGGAAGAAACCTAGGAGATACCACCTTTGAGAAATCTCAAATCCTGTGTTCTTAAGTTCCCCATTTAAAAAATAATATATTTGTGCTCCTGTAATAGGTATATGCTAGGTGTCGGTACCTTCAGTTCTATAAAGGCCAGGTGTCTATTTCATATTACTTGTCAGCTCATTGGTACAGAACATAGATCTCGGGGAAGGCACCAGGGAACTGAGAGCATACAGGAAAGTTGGTCTTTGCCTGTATCCCTACTGGCCTGAGACCAGCCCTTGCCTGGTCAGTCATTCCAGGCAAGTAGCTGTAAGACCAGGTCACAGACCGAGTTATAGGCACATAGATATTTGAATTCTAAGACTGCATTTATTTTCAATAGATAACTGAAGTTATTCCTACTGAATTATGTTGTGTTTTGTCATTTAGCTTAGGTATAACAGTATCTATCCATAGGAATACCTGAGGAAAAACAGAGTTTGGTGGAATATGCTCTGAATGTAAAGAGCACAATAATAAACATCATATTATTGACCTTAGATAATAGTTTAGGACAATGTCACTTACACATGAGCATGCTGAGGAACTCCCTAGGTCACCCCGCTAATAGCAGAGCCAAATTTTCAGACCCCAGTTCCTTTCCATTATAGAGCCATCACCACTCAGATTTGAATATTTCCCCAGCAATCAGGATTCTATTCATACATCTAAACCACTGTTTTTATAGGAGTTTGAGAAAAGAGTTCCTTAATAATTTCAAGTTTCATAAGTATGGAAATTTTTAAATGTACAGGTTGGGAGAGCAATGCTTAAGAGTGGAGTCTATGCATGCAGCCTGTCCGACTGTGTGACTCATCTTGTCTACTTTGCAGCTAGAGAATCTGATACAAGTTAGTTAACTCTCTGTTCTTCTGTTACTTTCTCCATAAATATGAATAATAGCACCAATCTGGTGTTTGTTATTAATTAAGTATTGCATAGAACAGTATCTTTTACTTAGTAGTCAGCAAAGGAGGTGAATAGACATTTTTTTCCAAAGAATTAATAAAAGTAGCCCAAAGATGTTTGAAAAGTGTTCAACATAACTAATCATTAAGAAAATAAAACCAAAACCACTATGAGATGTCACATTACCCCTGTTAGAATGGTTGTTATCCAAAAACAAGACATAATTTGGCAAGGGTGTGAAGATAAGGGAACACTCGTACACTGTTGGTAGGAATATTAATTGTTACAGCCATTATGAAAAACAGCATGTGATCCACCAATCCCTCTTCTGGGTATATATGCAAAGGAAATGAGATCAGGTTTTCAAAGAGATATCTACATTTCCATGTTAATTGCAGCATCAATTATAATAAACAAGATATGGAAATAACCTAAGTTTTGGTTGATGGATTCATGGGTAAAAACCATGATATAGATATAGATATAGATATATAGATATACACAATGGGATATTATTCAGCCAAATAAAAGAAGAAAACCTTGCCATTGAGACAACATGGATGCACCTAGAGGCCATTGTGCTGCGTGAAACAGGTAAGATAGAAACAGACAAATGCAGTATGGTATCACTTACATATGGAATCTAAAAACAAAAACAAAAAACACTAATTTATCAAAATAGAGATTTAAATAGTGGTTGCCTAGGACTGGGGAGAGGAGGATAGGGAAATGTTGGACAAACTACACCAACTTTTAGTTATAAGAGGAATAAGTCCTGAGGCTCAAATGTACAGCATAGTGAGTATAATAATACTATGTTGTATACTTGAAATTTGCCAAGAGAGTAGGTCTCAAGCATCACTATATGAGGTTACTGATGTGTTAACTAACCTGATTGTGGTAATCATTTCACAATGTATATGTATATCAAATCATCACATTGTACACTTTAAATATATTACAACTGTACTTGCCAATTATACCTCAATAAAGCTGGAAAAGAAAATTATTGCCCATTCCAAAAAATGCACTTAATGAATGAAAGCTCTTATTAGACATGAGTGATGATGATTATGACAGCAATGATTACACATTACATATATTATTTTACAGATAAAAATCTATGCTCCTCCTGGTACACCAATAGGTTATGTTATTCAGACCAAGCACCCGTATGTGCCTAAGTTTACAATTCAAAATGAGAATAAAAAGGATATGCTAAGAATTATTGGTCCATTTTTTGCATGCAAATGTTGTGGAGATGTTGATTTTGAGGTAAGAGATATGATAATTTTTATAAGATTTGATGTAAGAGATGTGATAATTTTAATAGGATTTCCTTACATTTTCCAAATGT